TCGGCTTCACTCCATACCATGCTTCATGAGATGAGCAATCCTTCAAACTCTTTGTTGGTGATCTATTGATTAAATATGCAGCACAGGAAACAGCTTCTGCCCAAAGTTCTTGTTGCAATCTTTTCTTCTTGAGCATACATCTCACCATCTCCATGATTGTCCGGTTCTTTCTTCGCTCACGCCATTTTGTTGTGGTGTAAATCGGACTGTCAACTGGGGCTTTATTCCATGATCTTTGCAATATTTTTTAAATTCATTGGAGAGATACTCTCCACCACGATCTGTCCTCAAACTTTTGATTTGAAAACCTACAAACTTTTCAACTTTGGCCTTGAAATCTTTAAAGGCTTGAAATGCTTCAGATTTTTCTTTGAGGAAGTAGACCCAAACTTTTCTTGAGAAATCATCAATAAATGTAATGAAATATAGATTACCTCCAAAAGATGCTACTGGCAGTGGACCACACAAGTCATAACGAATAAGCTCCAACGGCTTCTTTGCTCACCATGAGGACCTTACCAAATTGACAATCTTCACAAACGCCATCCACTGGATCAATTTGAGGCAACCCATGTACCATTCTTTTGTTTGACAGCAACTTCAAACTTCCATAATTTAAATGGCCATATCTATCATGCCATAACTTAGAGACTTCTTTTTCAGCACTCACAAAGCAAGATAGTTTTGTTGTCTGAAGCTTCAAAGGAAACAAGTTATTTGCAGCAAGTCCAACCTTGGCAACAAATTTATCCTCTTTTTTTAGAACACAAAAATCACCACGGAGGCGAATATCATAACCCTTCCTCAACAGATGGCCCATACTCAATAAATTACTTTTCAAACCAGGAACATAATATACTTCAGAAACCTTCTCAATTGTTCCAGATTTTGATTTGAAAGACACCTCACCAATTCCCTCAATTTTATAGGCTCTATCATCACCAATTCTCACTTGACCATGATCAAACTTATAGAGGGCAGAAAAAAGGTTTTTGTTACCTGTCATATGCTTGCTAGCTCCACTATCTAAATACCACGCATCACTCATTTGATCTCCATGACATGCAAGCAATAAAGTTTCTTTATAATCACCATCTCCAGAGTTGGTTTGATGCATATAGCCTGCTCCATATTGTTTTTTCATCATCTGCCTTTTTGAACCGACATTCTCTAGTCTTGTGCCCAGGTTTGTTGCAGTAGTAGCATTCTGGAGTGCCACGTCCTCTTCCTCTTTGAAAAACACATCCTCTTCCTCGGTACGAATTTAAATTTCTTTCACCTTCATTATTGGAGTTGTTTGATGAGCCTCGTTCATTGCCATAAGAATTAGTGCCTTTGCCATTCAAATATCTTCCTCTATCTCATCCGCCTCTTCCACCTCTTCCACGTCCGAAGCTTTGATTAGGGCTCGAAGCTTGATTGCCATTGCCTCCCGTAGTTGCAACTTGAGACTTGAGTGCTTGATCCGGTTGAGTAGCAGGAAGATTCCTCAAATTAATTTTGATCTCATGGGCTTCAATTTTCCTTGTACCTTTTCCATAGAAAAAGTTGAAATATCATTTGACTCTTCGATGGCAGCCATAACATAATCGAATTTCGCCAGTAAGCTACGGAGAATTTTCTCAACAATTCTTGCATCTTCGAGAATCTCCCCATTTGAAGCCATTTGATTAACGATTGAGGTAACTTTGATAAAGTAGTCATTGATTGTCTCATCTTCTTTCATCTCCAACTTTTCAAATTCTTTCCTTAAAGATTGCAGACGAACCTTCTTTACCTTCTCCTTACCTCTGTAGGCATTCTCGATCATATCCCATGCTTGCTTTGCATTCTCGGCTTTCGCAACTCTTTCATATACTTGCATCTCAATGGTTTGATAGATGTGGAAGAGTGCCTTGCTGTCCTTCTTTCGGTTTTCCCTCAAAGTATTCATCTGTGCTTGAGTTAACGCAGCTTCGTTATCCGTCTCTTCGTAGCCTGTTTCAACAATATTCCATAGCTCCAAAGCCTTCAACAACACCTTCATATTGTTGCTCCAGTAGTCGTAATTATCACCACCAAATCGAGGAATTAGTGAAGCCAAGTTGTGACCATTTTCATTTGCATTCGCCATATTGACAAAACTTCAACCTGGCTCTGGTACCAATTTGTAGGAGGAAGAGGGATAGAGAAATGTAGGAGAGCGGAGAGGTTTTTAAACTTGAAAAGACTTCTAATTTCTGATTTCGTTTTCTCACACAAACTCATTACACTACATGGCTTTTATAGCCACTACAATACATCATCATTTATTTAGGTAATTATAAGGTTCTTTAAACATTGAAACATCTAGAGAAATCTTGATTAACTCTAGAAATTCCAAACATCACAACTCTAGAACTTCTATCCTTTCTTATCCCTGATTTATGACTCTTTCTTGTAACTGAAATTTGGGTTAACCTTCCAACAGCTAACATATGCCTCTATTCCATTACCCTCTTTGGTGTCCCTGAAAACCACTAAGTTATTGTAAACCAGTGCCGGTGACCCACCCACGTAGGCCTCCCCCAACCAAAATCATTCTCATAGAGTGGAAACCCACAATGACTACTGAAGCCAAATAACGTAGCCGTGTCCTTACCTAGTTTCATCATATCATGCAAGAGTTAGTCACCCTCTTGTAGTTTCTTGATACACTCGTTGTCAATCTTGCTTGTTTCTTCTCGTAGCTCCCCAAGCACCGCCCGGTCATCACATTCTTCATCATCGGAACTGTTGCTTAGAATTTGCAACGGAGATGTCAATGCAATGTGAAAAATGTTCCCGAAAGAGTTTTGAGGCAGCGGCGGATCAAACCTGGGACGCAAGTTCACAGTCTGGACCACACGGTACAATTTATTCGTAGCGCAACCCTTTGCAGCCCCACAAATCGATTCCATATGAAAGCGGTTAAGGTCTCGACGCGGGAAGGGCGTTTTGACGTAACATTTTTGGTATTCCGTTGGCATTTTGCTCGGAGGGTTTCTATTTCAGAAGCGTTGCAAATAAACCTCCGTGTTACCTTATCTTTGGTGAGTGGCATGCTACCACCTGATCGAACTCCTTCGGTGGGGGGAAGAGTGCAGCTGACACAAATTGTGGAGGGTCTATATCGGCTTGATCTCTGCGTGCGGTGGCGGCCCAGGTGTTCGTGAACACGAAATTGGACAACCCGTCAGCAAGCTTGTGAGACACGCATTGGCCGATTGCAAACCCTCCGCACTGAAACATGTTGAGCTGGACCCCTCTGGGAATTTCGTTGTGGTAATTTTCGAGTTCAAATGGGAAGAACTTGTTGACCTGAGCAAGGTTAGGGTTTTTAAGAACATCGGAAAGCGTACAGTTGAGCACTTGAGCTTCAACAAAGTGAATGCCCTCGTCGTTGCAGTCGATGAATTTGTTGTCTTTCACTCGTCCGGCTAAAGGGTAGTAAAGGGTAGTAAAGGGTTAAAACTTGGGATAGGGAATTCTTGAGGTGGTTGTAAGGTTTAATTTGTGAGTAAGATCAAACACCAAGTCATGCAATAACACAAGTAATATGAGCTATACATAAAGTAAGACTTAATTAGGGTTGTAACCGGATAACAACCATTTGGAGGGAAATATAAGGAACAAATTTGAATTTAAATGTTGCAGTTAGAGTTCCTTTGATAACTTATTGCAACTGCTCACTTAATGGGAGGAACCAGTTGCAAGGCATATATAGAAATGTTTGGTCCCTCTTCTCGGTAGTCTGTCATTGTTCCATATAGTTTGGTTTGTCCCATTGAAAACTAGAGAACTCTAACGTGATTACAAGAGAAGAGAAGACTAACCATTGTCCTAAGAACCGATTCATCCACTGCAGAACATGGTTGCAAATTCAGGTTAGTGCTTTTGTCGCTAAAGCAATGATATAACTGAGTTCTGCCGCTCAAGCGGAGGATTCTATAACTGTGCTATGCCGCTCAAGCGTTAATATAACTGTGTTCTAAAGCTCAAGCGTTAATATAATTGTGTTCTGCCGCGCAAGCGGAATGCGAACCTTTTCAATAAATCATTAGGGTTTGTGCATGTTCATTTAATGCACATGCATAGCATAAATTTGTTGGTAAGGTTTGATGGTTTCGATCTCTAAAAGGACCTTCATGTGGTATCAGAGCTGATCCATTCAAACCTACTTTGTCCTTGGATAATTTTTAATAAAAATAAATAAAAAACAATGGAAGAATAATTAACCATGGTATTTAGTCGTGGACGATAACCACAAGGAGACCATGCATGCATGCATTTCCTTCTTATTTTGCTTCACTCTCTTCGAATACCACATGCTGGCATTTTTTTAGGGAGTTTTAACAAAAAACCTAAGGTACTGTTCATTTTAACGAAAAATCATATTTTCACTAAAAAATCAAACATGATACTATTCACTTTACCCTTTATTTTGTCCTTATCATTAAAACTCCAAATTTTCAAGCTCTTTTCATTAGTTTTTTTTTTTTTCAATGTGTAGTGCATGGGGAACAAGATAAATAAAAACTCATCCTCTCCTTTCCTTTTTAGCCTGCATCTTTTTAGTTCTTTTTATTTTTCTTTCTACTGCGGGTTCAACAGTGCAGAGTTCCATGCCTTTTTGCGGCTACTACTGCCCAGTGGGGCTCGAGTGTTTTCTTGTGTTTTTTACCACCAAAACTTTTCATCATAAGAAAAGAAATACACGTTTCTAATTTTTGTATTATTTTTAGACAAAATGATGTCTGAGATAAGTATAACTTCCCATTTTAATATCTAAAAAACGACAGAAATAGTCCATGAGCTGTAAGTGTTCTATTTTACTTCTTGTCGTCAAATCTGTCAAATTTGACAAGCGAGGAGCCCGTCCTTACTGTACATGCGGCGCAAAAACACAACTTGTGAGCATATGTTGGGTCAAAATGCCTTTTGATGAGATAAAGTGGAATTCGCACACTTCAAGCGACAAACACAAGCAAAACAGGAAACCATAAACAGTAACAAACGACCCGTCATTGTCAACTAAGTCAAGTTTTACACAGTTTTCTCAAGTTATATACATGCCCTACACACAGTAAGTACAACGAGCAACTTGAGCTAAGCTAGTTTCTTCAATGGAGGCGTCTAGATGATTTAGCGACCTAGAGAAAAGAGATGAATATGGACATCCGTAAACTTGGCCTCCAACACGACATTAAGGCGACTACACTAAACAGTAACTCCCTATTGCCTGACAACATTAACCAGAAACACAACCGGTGGTGGGTATTACAAACCATGCTAAAGGAGGTTACTCGGGATCACCCTCTGCATCCTGAAAGCTGAACTCTCTATGTGAACCTAGCTTGAGTAATACCATTCCTCGATTCTCTTCCCTCCATTGAATACCTTCATTCTCAGCAAGTTCGATGACCTACACAAAGCAAGCGGTAAGAAAAATATTGAACGAAGCTTATATTTATAAAGTTGAGAGATCAAATAATCGAATTAAAGAAACCAAGATATACTTTGGACAGTTCTAAGATTTCTTCTTACAATGTTTCCATAACAAGATGGGAAGGTAAAATTTAAAGATCATTACTTTCATTTACTACGCTATAGCCAAATACCCCCATGGCAGGGGAAGAAGAGAAAAATAAAACCTCCGGTAATTGTTATGAAAACTCCAAAACTTCCCAAAAAGAAAACAGACGTTAGCGTTCAACCGTTCCAAAAAGCATATCCCTAATCAATATACAATCGAGTTAAATAACACCAAAACTACAGTAATATACAAAAAAGGCACCATCATAAAGTAAGAGACATCTCGGGCACCAGTTTGATCAATTTAATATGCATTACCAAGCACCCCACTATTTCCCCAATTCATGCCAAAGAGAATTTAAAACCCCTACCGATTGCTTCAGCTTTGACTTTCCATAACCATGCGACCCGCACCCTGTGATAACCCTGAGGAATTGAACCGCTGTACCAGAGCAGACAAGTAAATAGACCATACCTAATAAAATTGCAGATCAAAATTGTTCAAAGAGAAAGGTCGTACCCAGTGCACAAGGCTCCCGCTTTACGCAGGGTCTGGGAGAGGTGAATGTCGGCTAGCCTTACCCCCATTTATGGAGAGGCTGCTCCCAAGTCTCGAACCCGAGACCTACCGCTCATGGGCGAAGGCACTTGCCATCGCACCAAGTGCGACCTCTAAAATTGTTCAAAGAGAAAGCAAAAAGAAAATTGCACACACTTACATTGTGCATAAGTTCCAACAGTAGATGGATTTTTAAAAGTTTCATGGCTTGTTTGACATGTTGCCCATGCAAATCAATTGTTATCACATTTTCTATGTCCTTGTTTCTGCAGAATAGAACATTCGCTTAGTTTGTCTACAAACCCAATATGCAAGAGTTGAATAAGACAACGAATATTTTCATGCCATCATTGCACCAACCTAGCTTTAAAGATTTCCTGGCTTGCCTTTTCGTCAGCTGCTTGTGCCAATTTAGTTTGTACCTTCGCCTAGCCAATCGAAAGATAAGAGGTAACATTAATATCTCAACTTGAATTCAACTTCTTTTCTATAAAATATAACTAAATACATTACAAAACACTTGTCCGTGAGGCTTAAGCCCTCTTGGAAATAGAACCTTAAACTAACACTCAAGGGGCATCAACCTAGGGTAAGGTTTTTCCCAGACCATTGGGCAGATGAGGAAATTGGTAGAGGGAAACTAATGGATGTGCAAGGTGCAAACTTTGAGTTATTGCCAAGTATTTAATGCTGCTTTCTTGGACGTAAGTCCACAAATCTAGAGAACACACTGGACAACCACTCCACCATCAATAGCAAAAACTGACATGCATGCCTCAAAACACAACATTCTTTTAAATACACAGAAAGCACACTTCCCAAACAACAAAACAACATTGTGCTTTTAGAGAAGCCCAGACCTGCTCAGCGAGGTAACCTGCATGTTCCCGTGCTCCTCTTGAATATGCCGTTGCAGCCTGCAGAAAAATGTTCCCTCATCAGTAAGTTATTGAAATAACCGCTGAAAGTAAGGTGTTAAAATCATCTTACTTTCTGATAGTAGGACCTCATTGAATCCCAGTGCTCCTTTGCAGTTCCTCTGAAAGCATGATATTCATCTCCTTGAGCTACAAGGAAAAACAAAGAAGGAAAGAACAAAGATAAGACATTGCTATAGATATAGAAATTTACATATTTGGGTAGATTAAGGCATTGCTATAGTAGGATAGATAACAGTTCATTCAAAAAGAAAACAATAGTATACATTCAATGAATAAACAAATAAATCAAAACCTTCATTCTGAGCAAAATAAACCACTACTATTAAAGGAAATTAATCCCTCGCACAAGAGAAGATGCAAATGCAAAAGAAGCGTCGGGAGTTCGAAGTTCAGTACCAAAATTGACCTGCTGTGCTTCCGCTGAGCCAGAAGTGCAAACATCATACCTAGGTGCCAACGACTGCAATTTAGTTGCAACATTCTTCCAATTCATGGTTTTTGGTTCATATTCAGCACTCTTGGAGATGTTAAACAAAGATTCCAACACCTTTTGAGAGAGATCTGCTGCAGTACTTTTGGGGCTACCAGGAGAATGAGCTTCAGAATCAGTGAGTACCTTCGAATAATTCCTAAAACAAAGAAAACAACATCAGGTTCTATATTTTTAACATCCTCAAAGCAATGAACCAAAGAAATTGAGATACAAATTTTGGTCTAAAAAAGGGCCTAAGAAAAATCTATATTGTGCCATATTTGGCTAAGCTGCATAATAGCATTTAAATGGTGAATGAAATACTCACTACCATAATTAGCACAAACTAAATGTATTTACTGAAAAACAAATTATGACCATCCAGATTGAAAACAATTGGACATCTAGTTTGAAGACAATATCAACTGTATCTCAGGGAAATACCTCAAAAGGGAACCAAAATGAGTGAATTCTTCAATAACATAATCCACTTATCAATCTCATGATAAGCTAGCATCATATGTAACTAAATGCATGGGCTCTTAATGTTTGAACATAATATTACAGTGCACATCCTGATGCCAGATGGCTGGTTAACGTATTAAACATTGTTGACTGTTCCTAACCATCAAAATCATATATGGCCACACACTTGAACATGACCAAAGAACTCCATGAAAGTACTACATTTTGACAAGCTTCTCACAGTATGTATACTCAAAGTTTACATTAAAATAGAAAAATACATCTATAGGGATAAATTACAGTGTACGGCCTAAGCATTCATCAAGAAAAATTAAAGTTAAAATGAAGAGTCAATCAGAATAATTTAATTGCAAGCATATCCAGCATACCATATATTATCTTGCTCATATTCAGACGAATGCGAAGTGCAATCAGATGCCCTATCTGTCAGCTATCACAAAATTATGCCATCAGTACATATGCAATGAAGCACAGAAATTTAAACAAGTATACACAAATGTTTTAGAGGCCAAAATATGTACAAATAACAATTCATAAAAAATAACATGATCTACACTGTCAGTGACTATCCTTCATAAGCCTACGTGTCAGGCCACTTACAAATCTCTTACAGACAACAGCATAAACACATCCCAGTTTCAATAACACAAACCCTGGAAAACAAGGGTAATGACCACGTCCTATTAACAAATAAAACAGGTAATAACTACATCCTCTTCAACTGTTTCAAAAGTGTAATGAATCCGGGGCACCACGATTGATTAAAAAGAGTCAAACCTAAACCAAGAGACCCGTCCTAATCTATCAAACCCCGAACCTAACTTTCTATTTGTTAGTCTGTATGTACATTTTGTTTGTGCGCATGTGTATGTGTGTGCTTGAGAGACAGAGGAGAGAGAGGTGGTGGTGTTGCTAGCTGCAATTTAAAAATACAATATACACCAAAAAAGACAGAGATGTTTTGATAGGTTAAAATTTCTAAATGACATCACACTAGTCATGTATACTTAAAATGAGTTGAATCAACCCCAGCCTCCAAAAACTCAACTCCCCACTTGCAAAGAAGCGAGCAGAGCATAATATTCAGAGGAGTCTTTGTTCTTCCATATTCAGAGGAGCCTTTGTTCTTCCATAGGCCACAGTATAGTAACTTCTGGTGAGGGGCTGATAAGAACAGATTCTCAGCAAAAAATAAACAAGTACAAGAAAGCATCTAGAGATGGTCCTGAATAGTACGAAACAAAAGATGGTTCACATCGATAAAACACAAATAAAAGAAGCAAATGAAGAGCAAAAATGAAGGCCGCCCTAAATCTGTCATGCGAGCAAAGGGTGTTCTACTTTTACTGTCTAGGGTTTTAAAATACAGGATGCTGGCTCCAGCAGGCCTATTAGTCTTTCAATTTCCTTGTTCTACAAGAATTATATCCTTCTTTAAGGATTTTAGGTTTAAATCTTTATAAATCACATCCTTGTAACTCTCTGGGTACAGGTTTAAAGATTAATAGAATTGCTGGAGCTTTGCTTCTATCTAGGTTTGTGTTATGCAACCTTACCCTAGGAGTGATTTCTAAACCCTACGGTTGTGATGTTAGTAGTTTCTATCCTTTTGATCTTCCTTTCTCATTCTTTTTCAAATATCCACTGTGCGTTCTTTCTACAACTCATAATTCAAACAACTCAAACTATGCATGTGAGCTATCAAATAAATGTTCCGCACAATGAAAACGACTAAGAGCACAACTTTCACTATTATGTTTAACAATTATCTTCACACATTTAAGAACACAAAAAAATATATATATATATATACTTACAGTGTCAGACTGTTCAAAGGGATGTCTATTATCTTCCTTAAAAAACATTATATAGTTAGAACTACTACTGGACTGTTCATACGAGGAAGAGGCCTCAAGCAATGCATCCAAGGCCTGAAGAAGCATATAAATAATCATCAGACTACAACAGCAACAACCTATAGGTTCAAATACGGATTCTCATTATTCGGACCAAGTTTCTAAAATGCCCGTGAAACCTGATGATTGTTCCGCAATCATCTTAAGCACTGACGGAAACATAATAGAAACTCTATACCGCAACTAACTCATCTTCCTTGGCATAGGGCAGCCACTTAGAGGAGAACCAAAAAAAAAAGGATAACTTTTCCAACTCACAATGCTCCTAGTACCTTTTCAACATCATACCCACACTGAACTGCAAAACCAAAATTTCGGGTTATACAATATTTCCACTGAACGCACACCAAAGCAAACTTTCAGACCAAAAGACAATTCATCCTTAATTCATCGCTTTCGTTAGTATGCAAATTGTAGTTCGTACAGAAACCGAAAACCCCCGAAATGATATTATCATAAACATAAAAATAAACTAACAGAGGATACATACAAAGGACGTCTCTAACAACCGCTAAGCTCAGCTCAGACTCATCTCCAAGCATAGAACAAAGAAACTGCTCAGCTTCCTCTTGCCCAGCAGCACCTCCATTACCAAAACCCTTCAGCTTCGTCACTTCTGACGACGTTGGACCCCTCCTGGGAATCGAGCTCACGTACTCCTTACCCAAAACCGTCGATACCGTTCCGGCGGCCGCCACAACCCTCTTCTGCTTACCCCTTAAACCCTTCTCGCTCACCAAATTCTGAATACAACCCGACTCAAACCCTTCCGACGAACCCAAACCCGAGCTCGAGCCCGAACTCGAAGCCGCGTCCGATCCAGAAACGCCACTCGCTGTGGAGCTCGTGAACGGCTCTTCGGAACATTCAGCCACAGCCCGTTCCAAAATCTCCGCGGCCTTGCCCGCGTCGCCATCGGCTTCTCGGTATGCATAAGTGGCATCGTCAAGCGATACCGACGAGAAAACCTCCATAAGCGCGCGGATCACCTTCTGCTCTTCGTCTTCCTTGGCGACCGGCGTCGGAACCGCCGAGCTCTTCTTCCTCCTCCTCCTCTTCGTGTGCTTCATCGCCGCAGCTGAAACAGCTAAAGTTTGACCGGATTCCGTCACGATGCCGACTGATGATATAAAACCCTGGCGCGAAAATTCGGTTGGGGGATATGAGCTTCTGCGAGGAATAGGGTTTCTGAAACCGGACGGTGGACGAGGAATCAGATCAGAAACCCCAGGTTGGGGAGGCGGAGCAGGGGTAGAAACGGAGAATTAGAGAAGGGGATATGGCTAATTTAGGGATTTCCGAAATAAAAGGAGGTAGTGGTAGTAGTGAGCCGTCCGGGTGGGTGGGGGGTTGGCGAGTGGTTGACAGGGATTCATGTTTTATTTGTTTGTTGGTTTATTTGGGGGACGACTTTTTGGAGTTACTTAACTAAGAAGAAATGAGTCCCGAAATGTATATAGTACTACGTGTGATGTATCGCATTATATTTTGATCCTATTAAAAAAATTTGGATTCTTGCTGGATTTTTTTTATGAGGATTTCGAGAATTTATTTTGATCATATTGAAAGAATCTAAATTTTCATCAGATTTTCTTGGTGAGAATCCGAGAATCCATTTTGATCATATTAAAAGAATATGGATCCCCGCCTAATCTTTCTTGTGAGGATTTCGAAAATCTATAAATCGTACGGTTAAAAATTATTTTAAATATTTTTATTTAAAAATAAATATAAACAATACTTAATAAAAACTGATTGCATTATATAACGAACACGATTTACAAATTCCTAAAAACAATCCAAAGAAGATCTGTTGGATATTACAAAACTATTTTCCGGATTATTAGGGAATCTGTGGGGCCAGCCAATCATTTCACTGCTGGTGTTGCTAGCGTACACGTGGTGGAAATTAATCGACTTTTTAAACTTACTGCTGATTAATTTAATTAGTGGAGCTTTATATATAAAGACATAAATCTAAATAGACCTATTGTTTAACCTACCCAAAACTAGTGGAGCTTTATTTATAAAGACAAAAATCTAAATAGACCTATTGTTTAACCTAGCCAAAACTATAAACTAACACCCTCAATGAAAACTTCAAACTGATATTAGATCCGTAAATACTAATTTATAAACTTTTGCAAAATAAATTTCACAACTCATGCATTTAATGCAATATCAATATGCAAAATCGGTTTCACAATTCATGCATTTAATGCAATATCAATTTTAAAATTTTCTGCAATTCTACGAGATCAGTTTCATAATTTGTAACTTCTCACACACTTCTTGTACTAGGCCATCGAACTGAATAAATTAAATGAAATCATCGGTCATGATTAAAAAATAATGAGTTTGTGCCGACACCCATTATTTTTGCCGACACTATGTGATGGACCGAACCCCAAACTGATTACAGCTTAATGGGCCACAACTCCGTCCTTCAAGCCCGTATAATGCTCGGATAGGCCCGGCACAATTTACACCTTTTGCCAGTACGCAATCGAACTCATTAGTAATTGCAACTACGAGTGGAAAGGAGTAAAAATTCTCTCAGAGAAAGCAACTTTTTTCTTCTTTTATTTTTGCATTGGGGTTCTACATTGATCTAAACAGTAAAGATACACGCATCTTCGACATGACGCAATCCCGCGTAAGGTTACGGATGAGGAAATTTACAGGTACACTGACGAGAATCATGGCTTACCGGCAGTGTCAACGATTTGAACTGGTTCTTCATTGACAGAGACGGGCAACAATTTAGGCTGTGTCGCGTATTGAGGGAGGACACCCTGTTCCATTGACTTGGGAGGAGAACTTGGCAGATCCCATTGAGGTTCCTGAGCAAGGCACTTTGTTGTCTGCTTAGCTGCTCCTAGGGATGCTTGAAATTGCTCATGTCCTTCTATGTTCACAAACCTAAACCTGTCATCTTTTCTTTCGTGGCAATTAGCGCACTGCATTTTTCTCCTCTGCACCTCTTCACGAACTCTCTGCAAGACATAAGGTGAGAGACTACAATTAGATATTTGTTAAACAAAACAACCTCCGCTCACTACTGAAACAATTAGTGAAAACTTCGTAGTTATAGGTAGTACGACAACTACGAGATAAAAATCTACAACAGAATAAGTGTGAGCACAAATACGACCACATAATCAGCCTTTCCACCAGAACTTGTTCGCCTCTATTGCATTTTTTATAAGCAAAGACACATGCCTAACGCGTAAATATTCTTGATTTTTGTAAGTGCTCATACAATAAGACCTCAGTATCAATCTTTACTGTGAAATTTCTTGAAAACAACATATACTTCATAACTGTTACGAAGACACTGAAAACAGCAAAATATTTCATGAGTCACGCTAAAGAACATGGAGTCACATTTCCTACGCAAAGTTAAGTTCTGCAGATGACTGAATGAAGACTACAGGTCTCTCCCATTAGCATCTGTTAGTGAACTACAATGTTCAGAGCTACCTTATCTTCACAATCCATCGCGGAATATGTGATGGAAACATCTCACTTACATTTAATTTAATATTCGCCGATGCACCCAAGTTGGAAACTGATCATATTTTTAGTCTAGGTAGAGAAAGCAAAAATTGGAAACCACAATTTCACATAGATATATGCACTTTTTCAGCAGCATAACAACATGATCCGGCTATAATAATCGCTCAATATAAAAGAACATAAGTTAGCCAAATCTATCATATCGAAATACGAATTCAAAACTTTATAGACAGTATTAGTGGCATAAGTTTTATACCATTGAATAAATCTACATACTATCCCACAATCCAAACCGAAGCAATCAGGAAGACAACAATGGCAATGAAAAATGAGACACACCTGCAACAACTTGGAATCAAACTTGGGCAATCCAATTTGCCCAACAGTCAGTGATCCGAAAAGGTTGCCGAGCAATGCAGCATCAGGCACAGTCAAGCCATTAACAAGCCCGGCAACAAACCCACCAAGGAAACTGTCTCCTGCGCCCGTCGGATCAACCTGGTTCGTCGGAAAAGGCGCAACTTCCACCTCACCGTCTCTCCAATAAACTTTACACCCACGCCTCCCGTTCGTCACCACAACACAGCAGAGCGTCCTCACCTCCTCCACCTCCATAAGCAATGCCTCCTCAGCCGACGCCTTCAAAAATCCAATTCGAGGCAAGAGGTGGAAGAATCCACTCTCCTTCAAACCCACAAGCTTCACAGTCCCGTCGACTCCATCGAACCCTCGAATCAGAGCCTGAATGTCCATGAACACAGTGTCGCAAGTCTCAACCAACTTCTCCACCGTCTCAACGGTAATCTCGCCGCCGACTCCAACCGCCATTCCGAAATCAAACCTCGAGTCGGGGAGATCCGAGGGCCTAATAGGGTGGCAAGCTCTTACCCGTTGCAGAACCCGGTCCTGACGTTCATCACCGCCGACGCCGGAATCAAAATGCGCGTGGAAGAGAGTGGTTTTGCAATCGGGTACGACAATCGGGTCACGCGGGACAGAGTAAGCAAAGTCCGACCCGACTTTGGAGACCAAATCGTAGGGAACGGATACTCCATCGAATACATTGGAGATGAAGGAGGCGGCCCCGCCGAGAGTCTCAGCCAAAACGACACCGTCTTTGATTAAAACGTCGTGGCAGTAGTTGCCGGCGATTAGGACCCGGGGAGCTGAATTGGATCGATTCCCGTCTCGGCCCATGTGGCGTTTGGCGGGTTTGGATTCGATTGTGTGATCCGCAGGTGGGTTTTGGAATCATGGGTGAGAAAAACAAAGAATAAGAAGATGGTTAGGGTTTGAGAGGCACCATTGAAGAAATGAGGGGAGAGAGAGAGAAAGAGATGACTGGAAAGAAGACGAAGTTTTGGACTTTTGTATGTGCAGGTGTCGTAAAGAATATATAGTGCTTGGGAAATCAATGGCAGGGGACGAGACGGAGGGACGGTGACTGCTGCTGACGGCCCTCCTTCAAAGCTACTTTGGTTTGCGCGGAAAGGGAAAGATGGTTGGGACCATTGGGAATTGTCGCTATAATTTGTAATTAAGATCGTGTTTGTATCTTAATAACAAGGATTGTGTTATTAAAAAAACAGATTGTGTTTGTATCAAAATATCCCATGCCACGTGAATGGTAATGAGGCATCTCAGTTCCCCTGTGTATCGATAATCGAACGCAGAACACGTGATGTTAAATAAGAGCACTTCCATCCTTAACAAATGTGTTCCAATAGGCTGGCCAAGTGAATGCCAACTTTGAGCTCAGTACATAATGGACTGAGCAAGAGACTAACTTACATGACGCCAGACTAACGTTAACATGACATCAACCATGTGAATTTCTTTTCTTTTTTTTGCCGCTGGCATGTGGGCGCACATTCCAGCATTAAAAAAAAAAAGTCACAATCTTAAGGATCACGTGTCCACTTTTGAGTTGTTGGATTTCATTTTTTTGAAATCCAACAGTCCAAATTAATTAACTTAATAAAAAATTATAAAAAATCGTTTAAAAATATAAATAAAAAATAAAATATTTTTTTTAATATATAAATACCTAACCATATTTCACAAAAATTGTACTTTCGAAAAATAATAAATGGCATGACAAGATTGATTAAAAATTCTATTCGAAATTAAAATTATTATTATTATTATTTTATTAAAAATTTTAATAATATTTTAATACAAATTGAATAAACTCTTGCCTATCTCATTTTTTAGGATGGAGATGCACTTAACTAATTACTGTTCATTAAAGTCAATTACTGTTTATTTGGATGGATTAAATGAACTTTGGACCAGCTCATTTTGTAAGGGTAGAGTTGCTCTAAGTGCCTTAAAGTCGTCCCCAAAACACTGGATCACCCCATGGTGGTTAAGAATTCTCAAACTCTGGCTTTACCCAAATCAAATCCGACATCCAAAGATGTGAAATTCAAAGTTCCAAGAAACCTAAACACATTACGGTTTAAAGTTTGTATTACCCAGAACAAGCAACCAAATGCTGTAATAATATCTAATGACCATATATAAATAGACGGATCGTTCCGTCTTTGGACGTTTGGATATTTCCTTTGTTCCAAATACGGACATTATAGAAGAATGAAATCGGTTATCAGAACCAGAAAGAAACAGCAGACCAAAACGCAAAGTTAATCAAGTAGCATGCCAAACAGAGTGTATAGAAGGAGTGACGATTTTCGCACCCTCATTTTCTCTGATTGCACTCCGTCCTCTCAATTTTATGCTCCGTCAGTTGAGCAAACAAACGGAGAGTCAAAGCATATGAACATGGAGAGGAATGTAGGTGGAGTAAATGAAAGTGTGAAGTACGGCAATTCATACCCCTAAAGCAGTTCACACAACAGAATATCCATCAGGTTTTTG